TTACACAAACCACGGTGATATGGCTTAGTAACAAAATGAATTTAGAACCTGTAATTCTGTTGTCAGTTAGTAATTGTTATGATTCATTGTTGTTGAATACAATTGGGTGTTTAAGAGCAGACAGCAGAAACCCTATTCGACTTAGGTTTTATGCTAGTTGTCGCTAGTTAGTATTTAGTGTTCTCTGTGGGATTCAAACCTAAGTCTGAGAATGTACTACTAGTCCTTCATTGCTGATTGAATCGTAGGTTCAGGATCTCCTATTGACTCCATCCAGCCACTTAACATCTCAACATTATGTACAAGATTTCGATTTACTAAGACTAGTGGTCACATAACAGCTTGAACGAAACGATTTGATTAACATTGAAGTACTAAAAGAATAGAATGTTGGTCGCTATTCATTGATCAGTCAGTTGTAGATACACACTAGTCTATTTTTTTTCTTTGAAAAAAGTATAAATTATAAAAACAAAGCTCTAAAATAACAGTACATACTTCCCTTCTCTACTGAGTTCCCATTTTTCAGATATTTTCGAACGACTATCTTATAATAATAAGAGTATGAGCACTTAAGAACTCATTTTCCTAGCTTTTCACCCTATATCTATCCTTCTGATTTAATAATGGTATAAGGTTTGTGACAAGTTAATAAATCATATATATATATATATATATATATATATATATATATATATATATATATATATATATATATATATATATATATAGCCTTGTGGGCCAGGGTAATTTTATGTTGGTTTTCAGGAGAACCAGACTCTTACGTGACAACCCAAACAATACTGCGCAATACCGTTTAACAGGAGAACCAGACACCGTATAGGCTTCAACGCTACAATCTGAATAGTACAGCTCAATCCTGTGGCACAACGACACAGGTGCCAAGCACCCTGGTGAACCGTTCGCACCATTCATATACACATTCACTTCACATGTATAATAATTATTCCGATTAATAATTGCGTGAATCAATTATGCACAACACGAATAGGTCAAAGTTGACCTATTCTACTAACACGACAGTCAAACTCATTAGTGTTAGCAATGATGATACGCCGTACAATATCCCAATGACAATGATTCTTGAGAACACTGAAAAGTAACTACCAGTATAAATGAAATCAGATAACCAGCAAATCAATTTTGTGCATGAACAGTCAGCAAAAGTTGCCAAAGTAATGCCGAACCACAATATCAATGACTAATCTCTAGTCTCATATGAGACCTTGAGCTCTATATAGCCACATCCCTATTTTTCACTTTCATGTTCATGTATATGTATCTTTATTTACAACAACTATAGTAATTTTATTCTCTGGTGTTTGTTATTTTAAGTCTACTGTATAACAAAAGCATCTTATTATATGTTGATAATTTGTAAGTTTTGTGTTGTTTAGCTCTCTTTTCTTTGAATGTCATTAAGTTTCCTTCGTCAATGCTCTCTCATTATGGCTTCATTTAATAGTCCAATTATATATAGGGGGCTATTATCGCTCTGTGATATTTATATTTTGATGATTAATTCCAAATCCATTGGGAATCTTTGCTATTCTAATTTAAACATTGATTTGTTTCAACTGAACTGACTGTTTCATAAATCTTCATGTAGGACGAATATTGGAGGTGAAACTTTCAGAGCTATTTTTGGATTATTATTATTTATGTTTTTATTTTATAATCAGTAGATAAATTGATTGTTACGTTTCTATGTTCCCCTTATTATAAGCTTTCAGTAGACCTATTGATTGTTGTGATGTGCTGATGCGGTATGGCAACCTGGACCGATGCACATATGTGCCTGGTCCTACGTTGTAGCTGACTGACTGATTGTTGTGATGTTTTATTATTCCCTAAGTATTCCTGGTTAATTATTTACTGCTTGATCCACTGTCTACTACTTATGTTATGATTGGGTTTGATATACGATTTCTTATTTGGTGTTCTATGTCGTCTGAGATTTCCACTATATTATTGTGTAAGTTTTGTGTTATAATTGACTTGGGTACATTAAAGAACTAATTTGTCTCCCTTATCATCAGTTTTATTGGCTTCTGAGTTAGAAAAGGCTCAAGTACCAATAAGCGTTAAGATCTTTATTTTTGTTCGTTGGTTAGTGTGCGAATTTGTGAATTATCAGTCCTACTGGCTATATAGTACGTGTGATCAATTAAAAATTTTTAGCATTAGCCAAATCAATGAGTTTCTCAAAATACAACATGTTTGATTTTTCTTTATGACTAAAATATTGTTCTTTCTATCGTGGTCGGTTCATGGACTAAAGATCGTACAGTGACTGCCAAGTTTCGGTTTCTTTGAAGCTCATGGATTTGAACAATTAAAAAGTCCCATTTTAGGACGAAACACTCTGGAGATAAATTTCGTGCTATTTGGCACTCGTCACCAGGGTATATCTGTAATCTTCAAGGAACTGATGCTCTCTGACGGATTCGATCCCATTTCACCCAGCTTCACAATCAGAGACGTTACCACTTGGCGGATCGAATCCTCCAGGGAGCAGTAGTTCTTTCGAGATTACAGGTACACTTTGCTGACGTGTGCCAAGTAGCACAGAAACTAGGTCCAATATTTCTTGTTGACTACCTCCAACCACTCATCAAAATTATTAGAATTGTTACATGAATGAGTCAATATGCTAACTGGTTAAACGCTATCCTTGGAATTTTGATGGTGTTTTGTTCTCTGAGCTCAGAGAATCATATGTAGCAATAGATAATCTGTTGCAGAACTGATATAAGAAAATATCATGAAAACCTAATATTCAATTTCGTGAAAACTTCTTTTAAATCTATTCATTTATCAATACATAACAAACTTTTACCTGAAGTTTTGATGATGATGTCGTTCAGAAAAACAATGAAAGCTCCACTATCAAAACATCCAGCTCAGAAAACAAAACTACCAAAAACAGTTTAACTTGTCGATTGTGTTATGTTTCAGTTTTGTTTAGAACTTAATTATCTTTATTTATTTATTTATTTGAACACATAAATATTGGTACAAGAGAGCGCCAATATATATGCGCCACACGAAACAATGAGAATTCGATGAGAAAAGAAAAAAAAGGTAAGGAGAGTAAAAAAAGACAAGAATAACGAAGAGATTAGTGTAAGGTAGTGTGGTAGTAACGACGGAACGAAAAGGTACAATCAGAAGAAATCTTTCAGGTAAAGGAGACACAACCACTTTTTAGAAAGAAAGTAAAAGAAGGTTACAGCAGGATCGCCACTGGCTTCTATTCTGAGCCATATCTGATAACGTCTCTAGCCACTGTGTAGCACCATCTCTCAGACCCCAACCAGGGAGTCGTGAAGGACCGACACAAGCCAGTCCTTTGCAGCTTTCTTTCATACCACGACACCATGTCATGCACTGACCACCTCTCCGCTTTCTCCAACCAGTCCCAGAGTCGGCAAATAATGCACGACGTGGAATTCTCTGGGACGACATTCGGAGAACATGTACAAGCTACCGAAGTCGGTGTTTCAAGATGGTGACACCACTGAATTATCATCTCTGTGCCCGAACACACGATGTCGAACCTCTGCATTACTGACGTGGTGTTGCCACTGAATGTCAGCAATCCTTCGGAGACGGCGATGATCGAACACAGAGAGTCGTCTAACGTCCTCAACTCGGAGAGACCAGGTTTCACAAGCATAGAGCAAAACTGCTCTCACCGATGCGTTGTAGATCCGGCCTTTTACAGCCAGACTAACATCACGAAGGCGCCAAAGGTGGCCCAGATTGGCATAAGCCGCTCTGGCTTTCACTATACGTGAATTGATCTCATAACTCTCGCCACCACTAGCACTTATGCAGCTACCCAGATACACGAACTTCTTGACTACGTCTATCTGCTCACCATCCAGGGTGAGTACAGGATTGGAATCCTGCCAGTCTTGTAGGAGTACTTTGCACTTCGAAGGTGCGAAGCACATACCATACCTACGGACACTGATTGCCAACTGATTAAGTGCGGATTGGATGCCTTGGGGATTATCTTTTATATATATATATATATATATATATATATATATATATATATATATATATATATACTTTTTTTCACCACAATTTGTTGCTAGGTGATGTTCCAAAGGGAATGGTACTTATCACTTTATAATGTCACTAAAAATATTTTGAATTAGCATCTAGTCATGATCCCTTTATAGCTTGGTATTGTATTAATCATAAAATAATAAGAAATATTTCGTAAATAATAGCAATACTTATTATTATTATTATTATTATACTACTACTCAAAGTGTATCTATCAATGTATATCATTGTTCAATAATTGATAGTTAGATTTCTTGTTGTCATTTGTTTATTCACTTTGTTGTTATTTGACTTAGTACGTTTTTACTTTTCAATGTTTGAATGACAAATCCCTTATTATTGTCATGTTGTTTATGTATAACAGAACATTTAATTTAGTTATACACTGAAATGCATATATATGTATAAATATGGTGTGTGTGTGTGTGAGTGGGAGAGAGAGAGAGAAGAGTTAACTGTGATACATATTGTTATCTCCCTCCTGAATTTGCACATTTTCTTGAATTCATTTCACAAGTATGCCTATCATTGATATTTTTTGTATTACAGTTAAACTGGAATTTTCTTCCCCCATCCTTCTCCTTTTTTCTCTATTACATAACATACTAACTTGACTTATTACCAATATTTCAGCTTGTATTCTCATTATTCATGCTCTTTATTATTATTATTATTATTATTGTTATTATTATTATTATTATTATCTAGTTGATTCATTTTAACACTATCATTAGCATGCTATCTTTGTTTGTTTGTTTTTGGCGGGGAAAAAATCTAAACTTTTTATCAACAATTGTGGATCTGATTGTGTCTAAACTGAAATTTATCGACTGTTCTTTTCTCCTCTTTTTTTTCTTTTTTTCTAAATCTATTTTTCTTCAAAATATTGATTGTTATAGGTACCTCAAATATCATCAACTGATAATCAATCATCATCGGATATAAAACGTCCTATTACTTCAACATCATCAAATCGTCCAGAACCATTAATAAAAATGCATACACCATGGCAATCACAACAAATGAAATCTGATCAATTATCACCAATTATTTTATCAAAACCAACTACAACTATTGCTGAAGTAATTGTACAAAAATCATCTATTATTTCTCCTATGGAACGTATACAATCAGCTAGACCACAACAATTTCTAATTGAACATTCAATAATCAATGATGGTACTGCTTTGAATAATAAACTTAATATTGATAAATTGAATTCAAATTATCATCCATCTACATCAAAATCAATTTTAGAAGAGATACGTATTATGGATGAATTGCCTACACCATTTCCTGCTTATGTTGCATCAGCACCAACTGCTACACCAGCTGTTAAACCGCCTGGATTAAGTTATCAATTAAATAATTCTACATCAAAACATATTGAAAATGTTATACAGAAAACGCCTACATCATCATATTCGTCTGGTATCAGTCAACCATTGCATATTCAAACAACCACTTATGATTTATCGTTGACTACAGTAGTTGATTCACATAAAAATCATCATCATTTACAACACCAACAACATCGTCGATCTACATCGAATAATTCGTCTAGCATTTCTTCTGCTTCTACATCACCACGTAGTTCATGTTCATCAAGTCAACTAGATTTATTAGATCCAGTATCTACTGATTTAACTTCAGGAAGTCATCAAACTACTATTCTGTCAAATTCCAATTCGTCGTCTCCTACATCACCAGGTTCTAGAACATCATCATCATCGTCATCACCATCGACTTCTTCATCAGTTAGTGCAGAAGCAGCAGTTGTTGATGACGATGATTTGAATGGGGCCGATGAAGCTAATATTTTAATATCAGCTGCTAGTGTAGAACACAAATCTGATTTTGTCGGTGTTGATGATGATGTTGAAGAAGTGTTTCTAAATGAAGATAAAGATTTGAAAAGTGTAGATAAGCAACAAGATGAAAAAGTAGAAGCTGAAAACTATAATCAGCAAGAGTATTTGGCAATTACTGAACATACCATCATACAAGATTCATTGGAAGCACGATTTTTACCTATTGATTCTGAAGTAAGTTGTTTAGTAATACTATTTTAGTAATGCATTAATGTTTTCTTATTTCCAGAAATACTGAAGTATATTTGGGTTTTGTTTTACAATGACATATCAATATTTAACTATTATACATACCCAAACCAAGTAAATTCCACAGTGAAATCCTGACCTAGATATTCGATTACCACTTCTATTATTTATTTGAACACATAAATATTTTTAAAAAGGGGCACCGAATACATATGTGCCTCACAAGTCATTTGGTTCGTGTGTTGGCTGTGATACTGCTCAGGTATCCAAACTGAAACAGGTGGTTTTCTTAATTGATCACACCTGGAGCCTTCTATCTGAAGGTCTAATCCATAAGGAAGTGGAGCAACATAAGTAGATATAGTCCCATAGTAGCCGGTGGCCAACAATAGGTTCATACTCCATTTTTTTCCTTAGAATGTTAGAGCTCATGTATACCATTGGTTTTGAATGAGGGTTTTCTAAATCCCCTAATTGGACTCTCCGTTTCCACCAACCTAAGTTAAAGTGCAGGACATTCGCTTTTTCGTCCTCTCAATTTCGTAAACAACAGTAATGCCGCGAGAAGGCAGTGAATGAGAGTTCCGTGGTACTGGCCCTATGCGCGTGGCGATGTTTGAACTGACTCTCCCCAACCTCGACCGTTGCAAGGCATGTGAGGGCATAAATAAACTATATTTGTTATTAGTGTTGGAGATGTTAGGTCCCCAGAACTCACTTGGTAAATACCTTAATTTCGTATTTTTATTTTGAAATTTTGAATTTCTTTGTTTTCGTGCTAAAAGCGCTCTTTTCAACTTCATGTCATATTTCCCACTTGGGAGAATCTTTAACGTTATTGGTCCGTTGTATATTTTAGCATACTATTTTGTAACTCTTCCCAAGGACAGTTTTATGCTGTATATATACGTTTGATTTGTGTCTGTTGTTGTCGCTTGTGCTTCTGGATACTTGCGGAATATACTTCCCCGTTCCAAAATTCGACTTCCCTCTCTAGTTAGTGGGGCTGGGACGCATCAGAATATCTAACTTATTGGTTATTGGTCACTGAGTCTTTGTTCTGTTCATATGAACTCGTAATCACTTCAAACCTAGCAAATTTGGCGATGGGGTTATCGCGAACATCAATCCTTCAGAAGTGTAATTATTTGTCGAGCGACAGCTGAAACTTATGTAGATGTTAGCAGATGCAAAACATACGCCTAACACGCAACTAAGCACTTCTAATCCTACTACTACTGCACAGTCAGTTGATAGTGTCGCGAGCAGTATCTCTGAGTTTCATTATGATCCTGAATCCAATGTCACATTTGATATGTGGTTTCGACGTTATGAAGACTTATTCAAATGTGATTTTGCTAATCAGGATGACGCTTGGAAAGTCCGCTTTCTACTTCGAAAACTGGGTCCTAGTGAATAAGATAGATATTTTAACTTAATTCTGCTTCTAAATCCACGTGATCGCTCATTCTCGGACACCTTTCAGTCATTAAATCAACAGTTTGGAGATAACTCTTCACTGTTCAACGCACGTTATCGATGTTTGAAGCTGACTATGAACGAAGACGCTGTTTTTCTCACGCATGTGGATATCTTCAACTGTGAATACGAACGCTTCCGATTGAAGTAGCTTACTGAAGATCAATTCAAAGCCTTATTCTAATCTGCAGTCTTCAATCGCAGAAGTTTAGTGACATCAGAACATGGCTGATTAGTCGATTAGACCAAGACCCCAAATTTCGACTTTTCTCTGTAGTTGGCGGGACTCGGGACCTATCAGAATATCTAGCTTATTGTACATTGGTTACAGAGTCTTTGTTCCGTTCTCAGAGTAGATGAACTCATAATCGTTTGAATTAGTTTATGTATCTGTGGTGTAATTAGTTTAATTACTCCATTTTTAATTCACCATTAAATGATAAATTATTCGTGATTAAATTTGAAATCTCTTATTGTCAACTATCTAAAATATAGATATTCTCATCTTATTATATATCTATTTACATTATATGAACTTCATTTCATTGTTTCAACTTTCATTTTGTTAATTTCTATAAATTTGTTCCAAATAGGGGAATATTAATTGATCATTTTTGACAGATCAATTCACTCGATTATATATTGATCAAATAGTTCAATCTCTCTTTCTTTTTCCCTTTCTCTTTTTCTCTCTCTGCTGAATTGAATTCGAAAGATAGTTGAGTTATTATCAAGAGATTTAAGGTTGAATGGTTCAAAGGTTAGATTCTGCTAGTTTCACTTTAGTAATTCAGTCAATCAAGGGATTTACAGTCTGAAGTGTATATATTTATATTTATTAGTTCATGTTGTTACGTCACAACTAAATGCGAAGAAATGATTGAAATAGTAGTGTCATCAGTGATATTGAACAAGGTCAGATATAGATGATATGATGAAATAGTTCGTGAAGTTATTTTAAGGCATACCACACAATGTGTCGAATGATTAGTTAAGATGATCATATGAATCCTTAACACATTTTATGTGCCAACCTACAAGTCTCAGTCCTACAATTGATGTATCCATGATCCGATAACATGTTTTGGTTTGATTGTTTCTTACTTTTTTTCCAACTGACTATTCTATCGAAGTAGGAGATTGTTGAGGATATGTAGCACATCTTCCAACTACCTTAGTTGATGAAGACTCACTACCTGCTCATAAACTTATTTAAAGTCTTTATTTTGTAGTCTTCGTCAGAGAGAATCAGCTCTCCCTCTCAAAACGCTCTCATATAGCCACGCGTATACAGTCACTACCAGGAAATTGGATTAGAGATGGTGTTAGCGACCGCAGTGCCAAAGGGACTACTGCTTGAGGTCAGTCACACACGACTATTTTGTCAGTAATTTTCGTAATTGTTGAGACCTTACCATCGGAAACGGATATATGTGGGATAAGATGAGGTGTGCATTCTTAGGGTCGACCTTTTCTAACCCCATCCTTCCTTGTAGAAAGGCATCATCGCTGTTATGCTGACTGTCTAAAGGAAACACCTTACTACTGTCACACCTCTGTACAGTCAGCAGTACGACTTCACCTTCGAACCTTGGGTTTATTGCTTTTAGTCTTACCGTTCTTCAACTGACGTGTCTGGCATGGTAGGACTTTGAAGAACAATTGATTCATCACGCTATGCAGGCCTGACCATCACGTCAAGGTAGCAACAACGGTCGGGAGTTAGCTGATATGCGTGATTTGGAATTCAGCTAACCTACATGTTTCACTGTATTTAAATAATATTTTGATAATTTAAGTTGGTAATATTCTGTATTAAAACTGTAATTTATGTGTAATGATAAATTCAACACAGTAGGTTATACATATATATTGTTCGATTTCTGAACTATTTGCATTACTAAAATATAAATAAAACCATGTTTATTTAGTTAAGTTTTAATCTGACCCACTCTATAATTCATACACAATAAATTATGTCTATAATCAGTGTTATTGTTTGAACAAAGAATTTTGTTCTGTAGTTCATAATTATGCATATTATTCAGTTCGATTAGTTTGACTATTTGCCAGCTTTGTTAGTCGTCAAGATTGTCGAGGCGATGTCGGAACCATGATATATGATATTGTTACCATAAGAGACTTATATAATTCACTGAACTGTATAGTTAATATCAGTGTATGACTTCAGAAAACCAATTTATTTTTGAATACATTGTAAAGCAGGTTCGAACTAGTATGAGACTCTAACAGTATTCATTCATGACGCCAAAAAAAAGTTGAAGCTAGGCTCTTTAAGTCTCTTACTCTTGTCGCTTAATGTTCAAATCACTTACGCGGCATTCAATAGTTTGGATCTCTGGATTTTTGATTTGTAATGTGGTACTGCCATCTAGTTTACAGAATGTGCATCACTGAAGCGGCTTATACTAGAACCAAATAACTATCCAGTGATTCTAGGTTTTCAATAGTTGTCTGAGGTCAGCCTTTATGTAGAGTATATTGAATTCATTATTATCTTGATTTATTTTTATAAAAATGTTTTTCAATTATTAAATTCCCAATTGATATTAAAAAGCATAGCTATTTTGTGAAATTCGATTGGCTAACAACGCTGCTGGATTTGTATCTCTGTAATTATAAATTAATTACGACTTTCATTAACACTTGTTTAATCCCATTATTTATATATTTATTTTAAAAAACGTAAACATTAGTAAAAGGGGTACTAAATGTATATGTGCCGCACTTCATCATTCGACTCTTGTGAGGATTATGATACTTTCCGGGTGCCCAAACCGAAGCAAGTGATTTTCTTAGGGTTCCACACCTCGAACCATTGACCTAAAGGTCTAATTCACAAGGCGGTGAAGCAGTGTTAGGATATACAATCTCATGGTAGCCGGTGGTCAACAATAGTTTCATACGCCTTTTGTTTCCTCAAGATCTGGAGCCCATGTTCACCATTGGTTTGGAATGAAGGTTTTTGAACTCCTTTAGATGGATCCTCTATATCCATCAACCCGCTTAAATCGCTGGACATTCACTTTCCCTGACAGTCGCTGTATACCCCCACCCCTGATCCTGATAGTGGTCGAAACTATGACTTTCAGATTTCATGGAAAGTGCTTAACTAGTATAACCTTTGGGTTGGTGTACATTAGTTTCAACTCCGATTATTTCGACAGTAACAATCATTTAATGCTATTGATGACAGCTATTTCACATGTCTGAATTGGATTATTACTAAAATTACATCCCCTTTATTTAAATTGAGTTGCCATTCATATTTATTATTATGTCGACTATTTTGCCTTATACATTACTGGTAATATGTATTTTCCAGTACAACTGGGCAATAGAAAGCAACAAGCATTACACAAATAGATCGGTAATATTTAAAAGTAGTAAGGAAAGAAAAGAAAATACAATCAAATAATGAAGAGGCTTCTATTCCTTACTAGATTTGATAATGATACAAATCATTGAGTCGCACTATCTCTAGG